AGGATGGTGAGGAGGAGGGGGGTGAAGAGGAGGGGGGTGAAGGTCGCCTAAGGGCAACTGGGGGGGGGTCGTGGGGGGAGGAGGGGGCATGCAGAGAGGAAGCCCCCTCCCCTCCCTCCCTCCCTCCCTTCCTGTTGGGGAGGGGGGTCAAGGGGGGCTGGTGCGTCACTGGGGCCCAGGAAGGAAAGAGGGGACGGGGGGGGTCTCTGATATCCCCTCGAAGGATGCCCTGACAGCCCCCCCCCACCAGAAATGTGTGCCTGGGGAGGGGAGGGGAGGGGAGGGGGCGCCGGCCAAGGGGGTCTCCCTCCTCAACCTCTTCCCTCTTCCTTTTGCAGGGGAGGGGCACAGCGTGTGTGTGTGTGTGTGTGTGTATAGGGGAGGGGGGTCTCTTATTATCCCCCTCCCCACCCTAAAGAGAGCAGTGTGTGTGTATGTGTGGATATGGGGAGGGGGTCCCTGCCAGGAGGGTCTTCTTCCTCACTGGGGCCTAGGAAGGAGAAAGGGGAAGGGGGGGGGTCTCTGATTAGCATCCTTCACAGCCCACCCCCACTAGAGCTCTCATATAGAGAGCTCTGTGTGTATGAGTGTGTGTATGGGGAGGGGGTCTCCTTAGGAATGCCTTGACAGACCCCCCCCCACCTGCCCACCCTAAAGAGAGCAGTGTGTATATGTGTGTGTACATGAGGAGGGGGTCCCTGCCAGTGGTCACCCTCCTCACCCTTTTCGCTCCTTCTTTTGCGGGGGAGGGGGGCATAATGTGTGTGTATGTATATGGGGAGGGGGTCCCGGCCAAGGGGGTCTCCCTCCTCACACTTTTCCTTCCTCTCTTCCCTTCTAATCCCATTTAGAGGTGCCTTGACAACCCCCCACCCTAAATACAGCAGTGTCTATGTACATGGGGAGGGGGTCCTGGCCAAGGGGGTCTCTCTCCTCACGCTATTCCTTCCTCTCTTCTCTTCCCATCCTCTTTAGGGGGGCCCTGACAGCCCCCCACTATCATAAATAGAGCAGTGTGTATGTATATGGGGAGAGGGTCTCTGCCAGTGGGGTCTCCCTCCCCATGCTTTCCCTTCCTCTCTTCTCTTGTATCCTCTTTAGGGATGCCTTGACAGACCCCCCCCCCCCCATAAATAATAATATTATTATTATTATGGGGAGGGGGTCTCTGCCAGTGGGGTCTCCCTCCTCACCCTTTCCCTTCCTTTCTTCTCTCGTATCATGTTTACGAATGCCTTGACAGACCCCCCCCCCATAAATACTATTATTATTATTATTATTATTATGGGGAGGGGGTCCTGGCCAAGGGGGTCTCCCTCCTCACCCTTTCTTTCCTCTCTTCCCTTCTCACCCTCTTTAGGGATGCCTTGACAGCCCCCCCCCCCATAAATAGAGCAGTATATGTGTTTATGGGGGGGGGGGGGTTCCAGCCAGTGGGTCTTCCTCCTCACGCTTGTGTGTTTGGGGTGGGGGTCCCGGCCAGTGGGGTCTCCCTCCTTACCCTTTCCCTTCCTTTCTTCTCTTGTATCATGTTTACGAATGCCTTGACAGACCCCCCCCCCACCATAAATACTATTATTATTATTATTATTATTATTATTATTATTATGGGGAGGGGGTCCTGGCCAAGGGGGTCTCCCTCCTCACCCTTTCTTTCCTCTCTTCTCTTCTCACCCTCTTTAGGGATGCCTTGACAGCCCCCCCCCCCACATAAATAGAGCAGTATATGTGTTTATGGGGGGGGGGGGGTTCCAGCCAGTGGGTCTTCCTCCTCACGCTTGTGTGTTTGGGGTGGGGGTCCCGGCCAGTGGGGTCTCCCTCCTTACCCTTTCCCTTCCTTTCTTCTCTTGTATCATGTTTACGAATGCCTTGACAGACCCCCCCCCCACCATAAATACTATTATTATTATTATTATTATTATGGGGAGGGGGTCCTGGCCAAGGGGGTCTCCCTCCTCACCCTTTCTTTCCTCTCTTCTCTTCTCACCCTCTTTAGGGATGCCTTGACAGCCCCCCCCCCCCCATAAATAGAGCAGTATATGTGTTTATGGGGGGGGGGGGGTTCCAGCCAGTGGGTCTTCCTCCTCACCCTTGTGTGTTTGGGGTGGGGGTCCCGGCCAGTGGGGTCTCCCTCTTCACCCTTTCCCTTCCTCTCTTCTCTTCTCTTGTATCCTGTTTAGGGATGCCTTGACAGCCCCCTCCCACCATAAATATTATTATTATTATTATTATTATGGGGAGGGGGTCCTGGCTAAGGGGGTCTCACCCTTTCCTTCCTCTCTTCCCTTCTCATCCTCTTTAGGGATGCCTTGACAGCCCCCGCCCCACCATAAATAGAGCAGTATATGTGTTTATGGGGGGGGGGGGCCCGGCCCTGGACTCCCTTTCCTTTCTTTTTCATTCCCCATCTCTTTTTTCTTCTCTTTATGTATTCCGACACCACACCCCCACTTAAATAGAGTCCCTGTGTGAGTTGGATGTGATCCTGTCCATTGGGATC